AACTTAAATGCCGGTGGAGCAAAGTCATCTCCACCAAAACAAAGCCAAGGAAACTTCCAGCTACACAGGAACCCAGACAAGGACTGGCTGTGAGTAGCTCTTCTGTACCCCTTCCTCCCCTCCCCCAACACTCACAACAAAAACAAAATGTACCCTTGCCCACTTGAGAAAGAATCAAGAATTGGCAGCTCTGCTGAAGTGGACAACTTCCAAACCAAAGCCCTTCCCTGGGGAAGATGTTGACACAGCTCAGAAAACAGAAGAAAACTGCAAGTCAGTCAAGATCTCAGGAAGGCCGTCAGAAGGTACCCATCCTTCCACACCTCAGTCTCAACTTCCCCAGGGAATCAGGAAACTGAAAATGTTCTCTATCTGATCCTCTTCTTCCCCAGCCAAAAAGGACACACACACAAACTCTCATTAAAACCTCCTTTCACAATTACAAGCACAGGAAAGTGTGAATCTGAGAATACTGTCTGATTTACTATGCCTGTTTGTTTTGGTTTGAGGTCCTTTTTGTTTGTCATTGTTGCTTTTTGAGACAAAGTCTCATTTTGTGATCCAAACAGTTCTAATGCTCACTATGTATTTCAGGCTGGGCTCAAATACCCTGAAGTCCTTCTACTTTAGCCTACTAATTGCTGGGATTATAGGTAGGAGCCACCATGGTGGTTGGGGATTGGGGGGGGGGCGATGATAGGGTCGGTCTCATTACTGTAGTATAGGCTAACCTCAAACTTACCATCCTTTGCATCAGCCCTCTAAGTGCTGGAATTACAATAGAAGGCCACCATAACCCATAGCCTATTCTTAACAAAAGTTTTGCTGGCCCAACTAAAACTAAGTTTAAAGGAAAACAACCTGAAGGGAATTTAGTGGGAAAGAAAAATAAATCTACATACTCAGTAAAACCTTGACTTCCTTCTACATCCAACCATTACAGCTGATAATCCTACCATACTATTCATCTCCCTCCTGGGCACCTAATTGACCCAGATCAAAAGTCCCTCTTCAGTGGTACTTTCAAAGCAGGACTTTCTCAATTAAACCTTGGGAAATACCACTGTCCATTTTGGTTAAAAAGGACAGTGGAATGGGGGTAACAAACACTTCTGTCTTTTAGCACAATACAAGGTGGGAGAATAAAACAAACCCTGAAATAGGACAAGAGAGAGAACAGTGTGATGTTCACATTTATTAATCACCTGCCAAAGGTCAGCCACTGAAGACTGAATTCTAGACTGAGCTATCAAAACTACTGTGATTCTGATTAAATCATCAGGTATTCAATCTGCAAATTAATAAGAAAACATCATAATCCCTCCAATTCTCTGACTTCATAAACTCCATCAACAAATATGCTTTGGTTGAACAGGAAATTACTGAAAGGCCCTTCGCTTTGTTCATCCCAAATATATGTTATATACCACTGAAAAAAACCTTTCTTGGATTTGAAACTCGTCACCATATGCTCATAATCCTTATTACCGGATAAAGCACTCCAGTGGTGGAGCACTTACCCAGCATGCAGGAGACACTGAGTTCAGTTCTCAGCACCACAAAATAAACACAAGTCAGGCATGGAGGTTCCCATCTGTACTTAGGAGCATTTATGAGACTAGAAAAAGAACAGCTGTAAGTTCAAGACAGCCTGAGCCACATAGTTAAATTCCAGGCCTGCCGGGGTTACAGCATGAAACTCCATCTCAATAAACAATGGACGCATGGATGGATGGATGGATGGATGGATGGATGGATGGATGGATGGACACACTGACAGGTGATAAAGCTCCACATGATCTAACCTTGTCCAATCTTGTCTGCCAGCCATAATTTCTTAGGCACTACATGACTGTTTCATTCCTTTAAGCTTTTCCACTCAAGGTATAGTCTCAGCCTAGAGTGTGCTACTCTTGGTCTCTTTAGGCTATATGCTTGGTTCATCATTCTCTGGTCAACGGCATCTCCTCTGGGAGGTCTCATTAGTCCTATTGTTGCATGCCCAAGGCAGAACTGATCTGTGGGCCTCCATTCTCTACCCCTTAGCTTTTATTACAGCTATTATCACACTTAACATATTTACTATCTTTCAATTAGACCAGTAGTTCTCAACCTTCATAATGTTGTGACCCTTTTAATACAGTTCATGTTGCTACTTCATAACCTTTTGCTTTTGCATAACTTTTATAATTTTGCTACTGTTAAGAGTAGTAATATAAGTATCTGATAGGTGACCCATATCAATCTCATGAATCACAGGGGTCGTGATTCATCAGGTTGAGAATCACTAAATGAGAGCAGAGACTTTTCCTGACCCATCTCCATCTCTAGCACATAGGACAGAGTTTGTAAGATGGAAAACATCCAACAGACCCTGGATGGGGCATAAGAATAGAAAACAGAACCAAATAAACTGGAAAGGAGAAAGAACAACTGGGAGCCTGGGGGAAAGAGTGCTGACACTCAGGCTCACTGCCAGTCTTCACCATGCTGCCTTCTCCAACCCAGTCCGCACACAACCACCGTGGGTCCATTGCTGCTCAGACCTGTTATCCACTACCTCCACCCAACTTTAGGCTCCTAACCACAACAGCTTTCTTGCAGACATGTGCCACTTGAAATCATCCCAAACTGAACTCATGTTTTCCCTAAAAATAAAGAAATGTGAGGCTGCAGAGATAACTGAGATTTAAGGGCACTGACTGCTCTTTCAGAGGACCAGGGTTCAGGGCAGCACTCATATCAGGCGGCTCACAACCGCCTGTAATTTAACAAGTTTTAGGGAATCTGACACCCTAACATGGCCAAGAGAGACATGCACATGGTACACATACAAACATGCAGGACCTCCCACACACATACAACATTCTTCAAAAAAGTAAAAATAAGGAGATCTTCATAATGTCTTTATCTCAGTCAGTGTGTCATACAGCCCAGGCTTGACAAGTCCTATCTGACTCATTGCCCTCCTGTGTCTCCCACAGCCAATCCTCACTAGTTTTTCAACTATCCTTTCACTATCTCATTTCTACTCTTTTTCAATATTCACCTTCAAAACCAAAACCATTCTCAAGCCTCATCACTTCACACTCCAGGTATCAATCCCTCTTCCCTTTAAAACAAGCCAACTTGTGTCTTACTGTCTTATTTCTAATTAAAAAAAAAAAAAAAAAAAAAAAAAAAACTTCATAGGTTCCCTTTTCCCTACTTTCTATCTCTTAACACATAAATGTATTAGCCTAGCTTTTTAAGACTCCCTCTTCCCATAAACACAATCCTAAAACCCTCATTTTCCTACTACTTAGGTCAATCTAATCAATGCCCCTAGAATATCTTGAATATTATTGTTCCCAGGATTTTGGTTCCTTTTATTTCTTGGTTTTTATTGTTTTGGTTTGGGGGGGGTGGTTTTGTTTTGTTTTGTTTTTTGAGACAGGGTTTCTCTATGTAGCACTGACTGTCCTGGAATTCAGAGATCTGCCTGCTTCTTTCTGCCTCCCCTTAAAGGTATGGCCACCTCCACCTAGGGAGAGGGAGTGAGTGAGTGTGTGTGTGTGTGTGTGTGTGTGTGTGTGTGTACACCATTTGCTCTGCTGCTTCAGCTGATCTGAAACCCACAATTTTTGATCTTCAGCTTCTCATATGCTAGGATTTAGGATTACAGGTGTGTGTCATTATACCTGGATTTCTTAAGGCACTTAAAAAAAAAAAAAAGCATTTAAAATGCTGTAATTCCTCAGTGGTACCTTTCATGATTACCAGAGTACTCTTCTCCTAAAGTGTCTATGGTATAAGGCCTGGGCTATACAATTATCAATTTACTTTTAATTTAAAACTGTGTCTGGCATGTAAATACGGTTCAATAAATATTCACTCCATTCCTCTTACTTGCAACTGAACTCAAAACTCTTCAAGGACACAAAGCTGTCATTTCCCCCTGGTCCTTCAAGCACTTAGCATAGAACTGAATAAAAACAAGTTTAATTAACCCCTCTTATCCCAAACTGTCTTTTAGAAGAGATAAGACATACTAAATAATACAGTTGAAATTAATTCCAATCTAGCTGTATATGATAAAATTGCTGTCTCTGCTGCCTCTGGTTTCCAATTCAGAAACATAATCACCTGACTCATGGTAATAAGCTGTGTTCATGACATCACAAACACATAGTTTTGTAATGACTACAAGAAGGTGGTGGCTGGCAGGGATGAGGGTGTCAATCCACTAAAGAACAGCTGTGTGCTTTTGTTTCTATGTGGAGACCTTTCACCACCACCACTGCCTTTCTTAAATTAGTCATGTCATCAAAGAATTTTCCTCCAGGATATCTGGAGAAGATTTTTCAGTGTCCAAGACATTTAAGAAAGCTACCTTAGTCTTTAACATGCAGTGAGGTTCCCCAGATACCGTGAATGAAGATTCATTCTAGCTAGAATATAGGCACCATCTACCAATTGTTCTCATGTATGAGGGAGATAGCCTGAGAAGCCACATTCAACCTTCACAGATTTTGAAGTTAGCCTACATTAAGATACTTAGTATAGTCTAGTTTAATTACCCATAATTGAACTATTAATTTTGTGGATTTCTAAAGCCATATATTTAAGCCAAAATTAATTGTACCCCATCATTCCTAGTCTTTTCTTTGCTACGTGGTAATATAGGCTTAGAAATGTAAACTTCAGTATAACCCTCAAAATAATGTCTGGCTTTAAAAATAATGATTTTGGGGTTTTTGTGTTTGTTTTTGTTTTTCAAGACAGGGTTTCTTTGGTAGCCTTGGCTGATCTAGAACTGGCTCTGTAGAACAGGCTGATCTAGAACTGGCTCTGTAGAACAGGCTTACAGAGATCTGCTTGCCTCTGTCTCCTGAGAGCTAAGATTAAAGGCATGTGCTACCACTGACAAACAAAATAATGCATTTTTAAAACAATACATTTGTTCATGAAGTACTCTACATTAGCAGAACTAAATGCCCTTGAAACAGTGTCATCCTTACCACAAGCTTTTGAGCAGAACCCCGCCATAGTCTTGCGATTTCTCCACAGGCTGGTGCACTATGAGACAGGGACAAGCAGAGCTCAGACAGCAAGGTATGCAAACGCAAAAACTTCTATATGGAATCTTTCAGCTACTAGCTAAATCTCTTTGGGCCAGGATGGTACAGAAAAGAAGATGAAGAGTCACAATGTACCGGCTCCTGCCTGACTCCTTGTCCCTGAGACCAAAGGGCTCAATATTTCTCATTAAATCCATCCTTTGTTCAAGGCCCTACAATGACTCTATTGACCCTTCTGTCCACATCCAACAGTCTGCCTCTGAGTCCTTTCCACCCTCTTACTCCCCATGATTTGACCAACCCACATTCTCATCAGTCATTCTCACACATAACTTAGTCATTCATACACGCCATCATTGCACATTGTATATTCTATACTTTATTTGGAAAATGCTTTCGTTGGGTTTTTGAGACTGGGTTTCATATATCCCAGGCTGGGCCTGAATTCATTACATAGCCAAGGAAAGGTTCCCATACCCCACCTCTGATCCTCCTGCCTCTATCTCCCAGGAACAGGGACTACATATATGCATCACCACACCCAATCTGTTCAGTGCCGGGGACAGAATCTAGAGATCCCTGCATGCTAAGAAAGCATCCCTAGACACTCAGAAAATCTTTCCCTTTTATTCCTAACACAGAAAACAGTTTTCATTGACTTCAATGTACATATTTATAGGTAGTGACATGGGCAAGGTAATGTTATAAAGAGAAGAACCAAAGTCCATCTAATTTCATAGTCCATAATTCTATGACTAATCCATAACCTCCCAAGTCCGTTTCAAAACAAATTCAGAAAGTTCCCTTTGTTTAATCTCATTAATTCCTTGTTACTTCAAGTTTTCTCCAGCCCATACACATGCCAGTATAGCACATTAAACTTGGTTCTGTTTAGACAGCTTCCCACATTTTAAAGAGTTTAAACTCTAAAGCCTCTTTCCATTTATATGTCACCAGCCTGCTTTGCCCTGTTCCATGTCTCCTGTTACCTTGCTACCCCTCATCCCCCACTCCAAGGGAAAAGACATTGGTTGTACATCTTTCCATCTCCCCAAAGGCTGCCACTGGAGCTTGGAGGTTGCTTTAATCATAGGAGTGTTCAATTGTTTTTCAGCAAGGATTTTTTAAGTGTTCTCTTCTATTATCTTTAAAAAGCCAATTGAATTCAGTTGAGTTCATGATAAAACTGCCCTGCACAAAACTTTAATTGTCTGAATCTATCTTTAATTGTCTGAATCTATCAGGCACTACTAAGATTCTAGTCGCTATTCCATACAGGAAACAAAGCACGGAAATCACATTTCCAAGGACTGATTTTTCCCTTTGGTGGAATAAGTGTTTGTGATGGTAAGGGGGACACTTCTCTAGACGCACACGTGCGCGCACACACACACACATACACCTCTCCTGTCTGTCTCTGTCTCTCTTTCTCTCCAATAGTCTCAACCAGCACTGTTAGAATACTTGAGGCATTTTGGAGCTCAGAAACTTTAACAAGCAATACAATGCTCTCATAACAATGTAAACATTTATTTGTGATACTAAATTGTTCCATCATAGCTCACATGACTGCTTATAATGTACCTCAAATTTCTAAAAACCAAAAAAACAAAAAGCAACCCTTTTAAGAACTGAGAAAGAGTGGTAGATCTAGTGGTCTGCTCTACACTCACTCCTAGGTTTACACAAACTCTTTAACCCCCACACTGGAGAATAATATATACAGTTCAACAAAAGGAAGTTCAAAATTACCCATATGTCATTACCAGCAACTCACACGGATTAAAACCAACTATTAAAAGTCAAAACTTAAAGAGGATATGTGTGATTTTTAAAATCCAATTTTAGACTCCATTTGAGATATTTTCCCACTAATGGGTAGAAGAGGAAGAGAAATAAAGCAATTATTACTTCAAGAACATTTCCAAGTTAGTGACATAACTCCACAGTGCATCTAACAATGAGCATCCATCTCTAGTCATCTGACCTTACACACTTCTGAACCCACTGCTGGTCATCCTGCCTTATACAACAAACTAGCCTTTTTTCTTTGACAAAGTTTTACTTTTTTCCTCCACAGAAGTCCCTGCTACTAAATGAAAGGAATAAGACAAATCAGACCACCAAAAATAAATAAATAAATCAGTAGTAGTTTGAAAACAATCCTCCATCTTTACTTCCTGCTTGAATGTGTAATGTCCAAAGCAGATATCTATTCAATTCTAAATTATTCACGTTAATGGATAATGATTGGCAGAAGGTGCTGATAATCCAAAATGAGGAAGAAATCGGGAAAAAAATCTATTTTGGTTTTGGAATTTGTTTTCAGCATATTTACCTTCTCTATTATTTGTAGCATGAGCTAATATTTGTGTTCGTGTTCCGTCTCTAAGTACACAGAAAATGGCCTGTGTTAGGGAGGCACTCTGAAGATACAAGTTCACTAGTGAAGTTAGAACAGACTGCTATTCAGCTCTGCACATAAGGAACAGCCAATTTCTTTTATCTTACAGTTCTGTTCAGCCTTCAAAACATCAGTAGACTAACACAGCAGGTTAGTAAACTTACAAGACCTGCTTGAAAACAATGAGGGCAAAGAACATAATTAATTCCTCATTGTTTACCTAGAATGTGTTCATTTGAAAGTTACCTAGGGCCAACATTTAACTACAAGTCTGATTCTCCCGGGCAGGCTTCTCCATCCCTTCAGGAAAAGACTCTCATTTACTAAGAAACACATTTTCTAAATGTCTTTTTAGTTATGCAATAGAGAAAAAACTAAGATAGAAATTAGCTACTGTTTTGGATTCATCTTCTCACCACTACTACTTCTCATTCAGCCTTTCCACCTCTGAAACAGGTTTTGGGAGACAAAGGGGTCCAACCTCCTGAAAGACCTAAATACATAGTAGGAAAAGCCAAAGACTGACAAATTACCAGCTTCTAGTTTCCTAAATAAAACATCTTCTGTAGTACTCGCAAAAAGATAAGGAAAGCAAAAGCCAAAGTCAAGTTAGCTCTTGGCTTTGCAGTCATGAAAATTCCCTAAGAAGGTTTTTTCTTTTGGGGGGGGGGAATAGCCTCTTAGATGAAATTTCACCAGTCCGATTCTTTCAACTTCCCCATTTTTACATGTGCCTTGTGCCCAGAAAAGACACCTAGGTTAGAGAGACACTCAATCACCAGAGAGGAGAGACAGACTCTGAGGGCTGGTCCTTGTGAGCCGACAGGCTAAAAATACGCCGGCCCAGTAAACAAATCCCATTCCATCTCGACAGGAGCCACACCGTTAACCTAGTAATTATGAGAAGAGTGAGATCACGCAGCCCCCGGCTTACTCATCAGCAGCCTCTAAAGTTTCCATCGGCTCAGAGCAACTTTTCTTTTTTTCCTAAAGTCCATAAGCCTACCCCAGAATTTCTACACCTACACTCACACGCAGTCTCTCAGTCTCTCTCCTCTCCCCCCCCCTCCCCACCCCCTTCCTCCTTTACTGGACGCACCCCATTTGGCTATGGATAAGGAGAACAAACTTGTCTTTCATTTGTCTTTTATAGTGACTTTAAAAGAACTTTATCCCACTGGGACGAGGGGACCGGCGGCTGCATCCCCTCCGCCATCCCTCCCCCAAAAATCTATCTGACAAGAGGGGACCATCCCAACTGCCCAGCACAGCTCGGGAGAGGGCAGGAACCGCCAGGCAGGGCTGGGAGCGCGGGACGCAGGTGAAAGATTGGCTCGAAGGGGAAGGTGGGACGAAGCAGGGAGCGGCGAGGCGAGGAGCGGGTGCTCGAGGGAGATGGCTTCAGGTGAAGTCTGGTCAGAAAGAGGGAGCAGTGGAGCTCGGAGGCGCGGAGTTTGGGGCGCTGGAGAGGCGGGAGGGGCGGGGGAAGACGGGGAGGGCGTCAGGGCTGGGGGCTCCGTTACCCTCGCGACTCTCAGGGCAAGGCTCTAGGCCGGGGCGGAGCGCGGGGCCCGGCCGCCTCTCCTCATTCCTCGGCAGTGACCCCGGGGTCCGAGCGGCCCCTCCCCCGACGACGATGGAGGCGGACACTGCGACCGCGACTGTTGCTCTCCACAGGAACTGGAGCTGGAGCCAAGCCGGGACTGACCGAAGCTGGCCTCTTCCCAGCGGCTTTCCGCCGGCTCCACACCGGGTCACCACTCCGACTCCAGCGGCTGGTTCAGGATCGGTGGCTTTCGGCCGTCCGGCCGGAAACAAGCGCCCGTTTCCGGCCGGAGCGGGTTGGCGGTGACACCCTAGCCGCCCCCGGGCCTCCTCCCGCCCGGTGCGGCCGGCCCCGCCCCGTCCCGCCCCGCCCCGCCCCGCCCCGCAGCAGCCCCGCCCTCAGGGCCGCTCTGGGGCTGCGGCCAGTTTGGCGCTTGCCCGGCGCGTGACCCCGCGCGTTCTTGGCTCGCGTCCCCCAGCCCCCGGGCTGAAGCAGTTTTGAGCCGGAGCTGGGAGCTCGGCGTGGACTCTTTAAGACTTTGGGGTCGCCTCAGTTGGCGCCAGACCTTTAAGAAGAAATAGAAACGGGCAGAGTAGTTCTCGAAAGGTGAGAAGGATGAAAATATTTGAGAAGAGGGTTGAAATTCTAGTTACTCTACGCAGCCCTTCTGGACCTAGCAGAGGAAAATGAACATCGATTCTTACAAACCAGCCCCACCCAGTTATGCATTCCCCTTGTTCCTTCACTCTTGACGTGAACATACCCTTTTCTGTTCAGTATTTACTTGCATAACAATGACTCCCTAATGACACCTTCGCCACAGACTTAGCAGAGTCAGAAGTTATATAGTACTTTTGTTATTGTGTTTTTACAACATTTCAGCACAACTCGACACCAGTGTTTATTGAAGCCCTACTGTGTAAAGGCACTGCACTCCATAATACTGGAAATAGATAAAGTTAAAAGACATAAATCCCAAGCATAAACGATCTTACAATTTAGTATTAATAAAAGTGCATTAAAGTACTTTATATAAGACAAAACAGACATAGCTGCCATGTAGGTTACAATGAGCTGTGCCTAAGAGAGTGTAAACAAGCCATTTCAACCTTTCATGTTTGTAAAAGAATATGGACTACTCTCAGAAGAAGCACTTTATTGCAAACACAAAATGGGGCCAGCTTCTGCTAACCAAAAGAATCCTAAATTTTAGTTCAGACACCTAACATTGTAGTGGGCAGTCTACATATTCAGAGCAGCGTTTATTGTCAAAATTATGATCATTGGACTTATGTAAAAACACATAATATAATCAGCCTTTCATTTTCCTCACTCCTATCCTGGCTTGGTTTCTAAAGGGGAGGGGGGAATGAAGCACAGAATCACCCAGAGTTGGAAACCGACACCTGAAACAGGAAACCTGCTGGACAGCTGTATCTCTTGAAGGATACTGTTAAGTTTAGAACTGGAGGTTTAGGGCTGGACCTAGGGCCATGTGTACATACCTCAGCCAAGCAGAGCAAGGTACCTTGCATGGAACATACCAGAATTTACCATGCAACTTAACAAGCAGAGACATTTGGCCAGAGCTTAAAAGATTCAGGGACTGTAGATTGTGGCCACTGTTTAGTGACAAATTAGACTTTTGTCACTTCTTTTGATCCTAATTGAATTCCTCCTTAGATCATACTAGACTTTGATAGCTAAATCTGAGGTGGGAAGGAAGAACTATGCAAAACTGAAAGCTGTTTTCACCAAGGCCTCTAGGACCAATTGGTGCTCATCTCTTAACTATGTCTGTTATGCTTAACACTCCCACAGACTCTTTAGAACCGGGGATGCAGCTCAAAGTCTCTCTCCACCTTGAGTACAAGGCAGACTCTTTCTTTTGGCTGTGACCACAAAAAAGTGGGCAATATTCAAAAGCTGAGCCAAGTTGCTGGTCAAAGCCGTGTAAATAACCACACATCGCAGGCCCGCCTGGAAATTTAGGGGTCAGGAAGTGATGGGTTTGCAGTTGCTTTGTGCCTGTTTCTTACTCTGACCATCCATCAGTCATTGTTGTTTGTGCAATTGCTCAATGGGCTGCTTGTCTTTGGCCAGCTCTGTCTGTGTGGGTAGCAGTGTGGTCAGCTGGGCTGGAAGCCAGGCCACCTGGGTTCTGGTCCCAGCTCAGCCAGTCCCTAATCCATTAAGTGACTCCTTTCCCGTTTCTAAGCTGTCAGTTTCTTTGCCTATAAAGTAGGAGCCTCTTTTCTTGGGGTACGCAGCCATTCTGGCTGTCACTGTTTCCCATACTCAGAAGCAATCATCTCGTAGTGAACAGTCACAGCAGGCTGAGGACAGCTCAGCTCTCTCTCTCTCTCTCTTTCTCTCTCTCTCTCTCTCTTTCTCTTTCTCTCTCTCTCTCTCTCTCTCTCTCTCTCTCTCTCTCTCTCTCTCTCGGTAGAATAGTAAGGAAAGGATGGAAAGTACCAAAAATAACCTCACCAGTGTACACAAGGCCACACCCCTTATCTGCTACTCAGTTCAATGTTCTTTTCCACCCTAACAACTGTTTTTGTTTCATCTTAATGATTGAAAGTTTCTAGAAGCTCCCTGTACTTTAACTTGGTTTTCACTGGAGCTCCCCAAAGGGGACCCGGCACCTGGCCTATGGGTGTGCTGCCAGGGAAATAGTCAGAGAAAGCTTTTTTGCAGCTAACCAGGAAGAAAAAGGAGAAATTATTTGCATTCATATGTTTTTGTGGTAGAAAAGAAAACCAAATCGAAATGACTTCCTCTCTACCACCACAACTATAATTTAGACCAGTGGTTCCATGGTGTTTTTAAAACTATGTCCTTCGGAACATCGGACTAACTCAGAATTCTTGGGGCTGGAGACTGTGTGTGTGTGTGTGTGTGTGTGTGTGTGTGTGTGTGTATTTTTAATCTAGGGTTTTTTCTAAGTTAAATCCATTCCTGCCCTCCTAGGTATTTACCTACTAGAAAAGAAAATATGTGTCTATAAAAAGCTTATGGGTGAATGTTCATAACAACTTCATTTTTAATAGTCACCCAATGGAAACCTTTCAAAGACCATGATAAAAAAAAAAAAAGATGGACATCTACATTGTTTACCACAGAAAGTACACACACACACACACACACACACTACCTTAAAGCACATAACATCAGGTTAAACTCAAAATCTTTTTTAAAATTTATCTTATTTTATGTATTTGAGTATTTTGCCTACATGTGTGTGCACTATGTGTGTGCAGGGCCCATGGAGGCCAGAAAGAGGGTGTCAGATTCCCTGGAACTGGAGTTACAGATGGTTGTGAAGCACCTAGTGCTAAGAACTGAACCTGGATCCCCTGCAAGTCCTTCAGAAACTTTTGACTACTGATCTTTGCTCAATGATAGAACCTTTATCTAGGATCCATAAGGCCCTGGGTTTGCTTGTGGCACACATGGGCACACACACACAAATAATTTGCTGAGGTAAAAAAGTCATTTTATACAAAATTCAAATTCAAGGACAGACAGAAATACACAATTGTAGAGATCAGCCAAGGCCACCAATGGAGAAGAAAAGTAAGTACTGAGGAACACAAGAGGATTTTCTAAAGTGATAGAATATGATGTTTGTACTAAAAGTACCTGTTCACGCAGTATGTCACATTGGAGTTTTTGTCTTAATTTTGTTATTATTTTACATATACAGGTATATTTCCTACATGTATATCTGTGTACCATGTGCCTATTCCCCCATGGAGGCCAGAAGAGGTCATTATATCCCCTAAAACTGGAGTTAAAAATGGTTGTGAGATACCACAGATGCTGCGAACTGAACCTTTAAGAGCCGCCAGTGCTCTTAAGTGCTGAGTCATCACTGCAGAGCCTGTATGTCACATTGTATACTTGAGAATGCTATAGGTGAATTTTGTTACTGGTGAAAAAGGAAAGAAGGAGAGAAAATGCACAGTTCCTTTGTAATACTTAAATAGGTTATAACTTTATGTGTACATTATCTGATATTCACTTTGCCTACTACATCCTAAATCTCCATGAGGTAAAGTCATCGTTTTTATGTATGGTAACTACCACAATATTTGGTCTGTGATAGGCGTTCATTCAATATTAGTTGAATTTGATAGCAAATTGACCATTAAGAACCATTGCTTTGGACACTTGTCATTATAACAGTGTAACAGGAGCCAGGGATTGTGGTTCATGACTAAATTCTAGTACTTTGGAGACCAAGGAAGAAGGATTTCAAGTTCAAGACCAGGCTGAACTAGAAAGGAAGACCCTCTTGTTGTTGTTGTTGTCATCTCCATCACCATCAAGTACTATTGTTTAGCTTTACTCCCAGACCTTCTGTCTGCTCACTTATCATTGCCAGATCATACCTCACAATGTACTTCAATGTCCTCTCTTCCCCAAAGCAGTACAGACATAAGGCAAGACAGCTATTCTCGGTTGTCAGCTTGATACACCTGGGGGAGAGAGAGCCTCATATGAAGATTTGTCTCCATCAGATTGGGCTAAGAGCAATCGTGTCTTTGGAGTGGAGGTTCTGTGTTTGCTTGCCTGCTTGTTGTTGTTGCTTGTTGATGGAGGAGGACCTAGCCCACTCTTGGTGGGCCACTCCGATGCAGGTGGGCCTGGGCTGTATAAGGAAGCTAGCTGAGTAGAAACAAGGAGCAAGCCAGCAGGCAGCATCCTCCATAGTGTGTTTCTGTTCCTGCCTCCAGGTTCCTGCTTGAGTTCCTGCCCTGACTTTTCTTGAGAGCAAGCTATAGCCTATACACTAAAATAAACTCTTTTGAGGTTGTTTTTAGCCATGGTGTTTATCATGGCAATAGAAAGCAAACTAGGACTCTAAATCAATGTCCATCTCCTTCCTCTTCGCTTATAGTGCCTTGGTTATATTCAGTAGCAAACCTCCTCTGTGTGGCTCTGAACTTCAGAGGAGGCTGGCTTCAGTGAGGTGGTGGGGGAAGATACAGGTGAAACAGTGATGATTATGAAATTACATTACCCTTTTTTCGGCTTTGTTTAGACAGGTAGAATTCTAACCAATACAGAATGCAAAGAAATCTGCTGGAGGCTTTTTGGGGGCATGGGGATGTCTTTGTTCTTACAAAGAGACAAGAAGAAAGAAAAAAGTACTTTTTCCTGCTCTTTGAATGTTGATTTTGAACTGTTGTGTTGGTTGGAAGACTGGTTGATATCCAGAAGAAAAACAATTAAAAGAATCTGGAACTTTGGTAAGTGTGACCCTACTGGACGTTATTGTTACATAAGC